ACACAAATGAGCCTGAAACACCTCGGGCTGCCAGAAAGGACGTGATCAAAACAGAAAGTCATACTGAGGAGGGTATGTCAGAGATATACAGGTGCCAACTGCAAGAGATCCCATTGGCCCAACCTAAAATAACTTGAGCAAGAAAATAAAGTAGTATTTATAGTTCAAAGTAGAAAAAACATATCCATGAGTCCATACAGATATAACAAACTATTTTTTTTCAGCTATATTGAGGTATAATTGACCAATACATAAATGATTGAGCAATGAATTCAATGCAGAAGAGACGAATCTCCCTTGCAGAAGAATTCCAAATAATTTATGTAGCTACTCCACCCTTAAGGAGGTCAAGCACAACCCCTGAGATGTGAGCTACACATAGTAACTGTCTTCCAAAAGAGTCCAGAATGGAAAGGGGGGACGAAAACCTTAACAATGGAAAAGACCTGACAAATGCTACCTCGAGTCAGGGGAGCAAAGATAGCACCAACACTGGTAAGTCCTACTGATGGCGTACACTCTTGACATGATGCGTTGAGAATGGAACGTGACCTCTGTGGTCTTCCTCCCCAACACACAGCTCTAACTCAACTCTAACCATGCGAAACACAGACCAAGCCCGATCGAGGGGCCGTCTACAAAATACCTGAGCACTCATCCCAAAACTGTCAAGGTCACCAAAAACAAGGCAAGTGTGAGAAACTGTCACAACCGAGAAGAGCCTGAGGAGACCTGACTGCTGACTGTAAGGTGGTTCCCTAGATGGGATGCTGGAACTGGAAAAGGACGTTAGAAAAACTGAAGAAGTGTGAATAAAGTATGGGCTTTCGTCAATAGTAATGTCTCAGCTCTTTCATATCTGGAGATATAACCGAGAATTAAAACCTAAAGCAAACACACACGAGTTCCTGACCACCCTAACAACCTAGATGTGGACATAACCACTGGGACCTAGTTTGATTTATAGTCAGTTATTGGTAAGATGGTGCTGAGTGTGCTAATGTTTGGAAGGCATAAAACAAATCTAATTGTAATTGGGAGATAGTGCATTATCCAATAGAAAAATAAAGTAAACTTTTCATTTAAAAAAAGATAGTAATGTATCAATATTGATTCACTAATTGTGACATATATACCACACTGATGTTAGACGTTAATAACAGAGGAAACGTGGCAGCATATGCAGCAACTCTATTTGCTAATAATTCTGCAAATCTAAAACTACCCTAAAAGTTTATTAAAGAAAAACCTAGGAAAGCTTCCAGATGTGCAATGAACATTTACATCAAATGCAATCAAGAGAACTCATGAACATGAGACTGCATCAGTTACCTGGTTCCATGAGTGTAATGCCACGTTGCGCCTGGAACTTTACAGAAATTATCTCTACCCTTTTAACAGCCCTAAAAGTTTGGTCATTTTACATATCATCAAACTGGTGGTGGACCCATTTAGGTAATGCATTTACACCTGGACCTAGAACCTAAGTCTGTTTTCCATAAAAAGTGGGTAAGATTCCGAAAACTTAATTTGAAGACAGTGGAAGGCATCATATGCCTTCCTATTATTTTATTTGATAAATCAATCCCCAAATCCCTGCTGACATGTCTCCCTACAGAAGGATACACAAGGGCCAGTCATGTCACCAGGACACCTGTGATAGCCGTGCCTACAGCCTCAGCTCTCCTCTGCCATTCCCCCAACCCAGTTTACCCAACTATATTTTCTTAACAACTACAATCTGTCAGTAGTAACAATTAACTTCTCCTCGATCATTGCCAATTAATTTAATAATTCAAGAAGAGGGCAAAGAAAGAGGAGAGTATTATAAAAAAACAAAGGAAATATTAGATAATGGATCTCTGCAGAGTTATAAAACATGACCAGGTAAGAATTCAATCCCATCCTGACTATATTTTAACTGACTTTTGTCAATGAAAAGGTAATACCACATTTTTTTTAAGTGCTAAAGGATAAAAATAAAACACATATCTCCCACTCGTCCTTGACATCCTAGCACCCCAGTTCATAAAAGGCAACCACTGTTCCCAATTTCATTTGTATCATTCTAGAAATAGTATATACATGTATGTGCAAAATGTAAAGATACGAATTTTTCTGTTTGTTTATACAAATGAGATCACACTATACGTATTACAACCTGCTATTTCTTCAACAATAAATAGTGGAGGCTGTCCCATGTAGATGCAAAATATTTACCTCATTTATTTTAATGGTTTCACAATATTTCAGTGTTTATGTATATCTTAAATTACTATAAATATAGGCTAGTCCTCAAGGAGATCCAATTCTGAGGGGAAAGTAGGCTTAAGGGGAGAAAAAGTGATTGTGAATATGAAAGTGTCAGAGAGACAGGTTCTCTGCCCACAAACCCAGCATCAGAAGGAGTTCGTCCCACACCAAGGAATTATAAGCAACTGGCAGCAGAGTTGGGCATTACTTAATCTAGAAGTTAAAGCTGTGCTATGAGATTAAATCTGAGGCAAGAGCACAGAACCACCCAGACAATCTGCCCATCCCTGGCTTAGCTTTCTAGGTATGTCTGGAATTGCAATACCCAAGTCTGGATGCTTAAAAAAAATCACAAATCAAGATAATAAAAGATTAACTATGAAGTATTGTGTATTCATGCCTATGACCCCGTCCTATCTGACGCCAAGCCCGGTTTCAGAGACTACTGAGAACAGGACTGGGGCACTTTCGCAATTCTGGACCTTGTTTCTGAAGCTGCGTGTGTGTCTATTTCTTAATTTCTCTCCATTCTCTAAAGTTGATGTCAAAAGAAAAAAGTGTATCCATAGGCTGCTTTAGGGAAGCAATGTTTTCAAAGAGTACTGCGATCATTCTATTTAAACACTCAAAGATTTAACGCTAGCCATAAACTAATGAGCGTAACGAAGTAGCACGGTGATGTATCTGTGCAAGGGTTTAGGATCATAGCTCTCAGTGTTGACTTATTAACCCCAAAGCCCTCTTACCAGGATGAAGTGGCCAAAGACATTGGTTTCAAACACCTCCTGGAGCCCATCGGCGGTGATCTTATCATTCTGGGTCAGCAGTCCTTCAGCTGTGGAGAACATATGAATCACCTTTCTGAAACAGAAGACAATTGCATGACTTTTTAAAGCTTCTTTAACTGAAGATACGAAAGAAACACCCCTTCCTCCTCTTCCCCACCCCCAAACTACATTTTTTCTTGATTCTGTAATAACAGAAATAAAAATACTTACTTCTCAGACTGGGTTATTGTGAGTATTGAGTCGGATTTTAAAATGCTGCCTTACCCCCAATTCACAGAAGGACTCACATACTTACAGCTCATACCACCAATAGGAACTTCAGCCTCTCCAAAACCTGCCAAAAACTCCCTTCACCGCTTTCCAAATCAGGTTACAAGTAAACTTCCCTGGGGGGTTAATGGCTATGCCAAGAAGAAAAAGTCTTCCCTGGCACAAACGGATGTTTAACTGCTGAACAAAGTTGAACAGGGCTGTTTTATTATTGAGAATTCTTGAGGCATTGAACATACCAATACGGTGATTTGTTGCAAGATCAATGTAGCAGGTCAAGACTAGTGTGGGAGTTTGTGTGTGGAAGTGTGTGTGTTTAAGGGCAGAGAGGTAAAACAGAAGTAGCAGTCTAGGAAGCAGTAAAAGAATACCTATTTATGAATATGTATACTGGGTCATAAAATAAGATGTTTCCTTACCGTAGGTTGCGGTTAAACATCTTTGGAAGCCACTATACCAATGCGTATGGAGAATGTCCCAGGAAGGTATTTAGTTCTGTGCGTTTTCCCAGCCCACTGGTGAAAACACCTGGCAAACGGCAGGGAATTGCTTCTAAAGTCACCTTCCTGGGTACGAGAGTCTCACTGACGACGCTGCCTAGTTCTGAAATGCTCTTGCTAATCGGCACATTCAGACAGCCCCTTGGCACATGCTGGGGCCCAGGACACCATGAGACCCAGCGCGTGCGGCGCAAAAGATGAATGCTTTTCTTTCATCTCGTGGCTGCAACACTTTCTTCCTGTCTTCAGTCTTCTCAACACCCCTTCATCCCCTCCACTTAACATACTGAGGGCAGAACAAGGCAGAAAAATAAACACCTTTCTTCCAATCAGTCCATCTTCAAGATGGAAATTACCTTGAAAAGAGGCCACGGAAAAGTGCCTTGATGTTTAGGCGTGGGTTGGGCATGATCCCAGCATTTAGATATACATAGTCTAATCTCTGAAACCTGTAAGGGAAAACCAATAAAAGACTGTTAGTTATCCCTGAAGTGACTAGGATGAAGAAGGCCTATGCAGGACAGAAAGTACTTTCTGAACCAAAAAGCTGGCCACAGCACGTGAAAGCATCAGTGTTACTTTCTCAACAGTCCTTCTTTAGCCGTGGTAAACATCTGAATATTCTTTCTTAGATGGTGGCTTCAAACAGAATCTGGACAGCTATAAAGGGCTTTGGAGTCAAATCCTCTCTGATCAACTCCTTCCAGCTTAGTCCTCCCAAGAAGGCACTGTGGTAACTTTCTGTCCACTGAACCCACTCTCCTGGTCTTAGAAAGGTTTTGGGTTTTTGTTTTGTTTTGTTTTGTTTTTAGATTACCACCTTCCCTCAGTGACAAGCAAAATTTATATAATATTGATATTCACCTTATCTAATCCATGAATGCTAGAATCTGAATGCCAAGATATCTTTTAAATTTTTTACCATGTGCTTTTATTTATTTATTTATTTATTAATTTAGGGGGGTAAGCAAAGTTTATTCTAGGAAAAGTAACTCATTGAGAGATAAAACTGTTTTAAAATTTACGTATATGCACTGTTCATTCTTTCTATGAACAGTTTAGAGCTTTAGCTTTTTACACTTACATGGTTATCAAAGGAATAAAGCCAACCACAAAATACAAATCAACAGATATCTGCTAAAGCATCTGATCCATGTGGAAACCTTTCCTTGTTCATGGCCACACTCTGTGTGCTAAAATGATGAAAGCTCACAAGAATACAAGTTTTAGAAGCTGAATAGGGATAAGATACTCGGGACAGGCTCGCTCCAGGAGATTTGCCATGGAGAGAACTTATGTAAGTGTATCCCTTTTGAACTGGGTTCAAGACAAGTAGTGCCTGCCTGCTCTTATAATACAGACACCATGAATATTCAAAACATCTCCTAGAATTCTATACACCACACATCCCCATGTTCTCTGTATAGCCCAGGACAATATGGGCCACAGCTTCTAAAGCTGGCAGCTTAGAATCATAGTGGTTACCAATACAGATCACACAGACTTCTTGATCATCCTATAAGTAATCAACGACCACGTGACTAATTATAAACTGTCAGGTTATCCATGCAAGTGCCACGAAAACAGCGCAGGTCCGTCGTTGTTAGTTGTTCCATTATCTAATCTGCCAATTTTTATCTAAGTATATTAACACCTTTGGCTGGGAATGGAGAGGAAATGTTTAGCAAACAGTGCAAATTGCAAATTTCCAAATTAAGGTCTGGTCGCAGTAAAATGGCATACATATTGCTCTCAAAGCTTAAATGATTGACACAATTCCTCTATTCTGGATATAACAGAACCACTATTTCTTATTCGTTTCCATCAGCATGTAGCTCATAGAAGGGAGGATCACAGGTGGAAAGACGAGGTGTCAGGAATGGTGCTGCTTTAGCCAGTTGGAAAGGCTCCTTCTCAAGTTTTCTTCAGCTCTAACTTTAGGTCTATAATTGAACGTATTTGGACCATTAAATGCAGAAGATCTTTCATATAAGCAAGCGATCTATCTGAACACTGACACATTCCCAAATTTGTGAATATTACTACAACCACCATTTCCTGAATTTGAATAATACCACCATCTCAAAGAGAGCTGTTTTGAAGACTAAATAAATACATCAAAGCTGCACTTAAATGCCGACAGGCAGCTCCCTTCTCCCCCACAGCCTCACTACCTTAAATTTTGGCTAAATTACTAAATATCTTGCTAAATACTAAATTACTAAAACTGTGATAACTAACTATCTTGAACCTTTGAAGGCAATGGAGAATAGTCAATACTATGAATGATACCACTTTAAATCTCAAGAGGTAACTACTGAAATGGGCTATTATGAACTGAGGATAAAGGTTCTTTTGTGCTAAATAAGGAAATATAATTAAATTTATACAAAACAGATGAGAGAGCCAATTGGCTGAGAAGGTTTGGGAAAGCCTGCAAACATTACCTGAAACTCCTAACCTCTCTCCTGACTTGAAGGGTTTTAACCCAATAGGGACAATAACTACAGTTTCACAGATCTGGAGACAAGTTAGGGAAGAGTAAGAGATGTGGAACCTAGAAAAGCTGTTTTTAGGAAGATAATGTGGCAGAACATTCTAGAAGCTCAGCAGTAGAGAGAGAAACCACATTTACAAAGGGCTAAGGGTGCAGGGAGACAAACGAATAAAGAAAACAAGTTTTGCTTTGTAACATGTGCATCTGGACCAGGATACTGCCAATGGCTATCAATAAATACAAAAAATCTGCCAACTATTATTCTTCAGCCAATGCTTTTTCCAAGAAGGCCTTTCCCGTTTGTATTGAACTTCATTTTGTTGGCCAAGGAAATAAAGCAGTTCTTGCTTCTTAAGGGCCTCAACTACAAAAATTTAATTAATAACTTATTAATTAAATTATTAATTAAATTAATTATTCCAGATAGTGCTAGGGCTCAGCATGGACTAGTGCAGGGTTTCTGACTTTTTGATTATAAATTCCTCTTAGAATTAAAAACAAATACTCTCTCTCTCCAGAAAAATGTATTGTGCACCTGTATGTAATTTATTGTACACTTTCTGAGCAGTTATACATCCAAGGATTCTATTCCTCCATATACTAAATATTTATCAGATGATTATTACATGCCAATTACTGTCCGGGGATAAATAAATGTTTAGTGGCCTGGGGAATTTTCTTGTTAGTACTTGCCCTACCTACTTAATGAAATTCTTAGTGAAGGAAAGATGCAAACAATACATTCAAACATCAAAGGAGTTACACTAACGGAAGGCATCACAACTGACCACATGTCAAAAGGAACTCAAATTAATCTTCATGGAACAACCATGACTATGGCTGAGAATGAAAACGTAGTATTGAGACATAATGAGTTATTGCATACAGATTTCCTCAGTGTATCTTCTTAACACTTCACCTAGCCCTTTTTAGATTTTCCTATCTCTTCTTATTTTATTAGCTCTTGTGTTGCACAAACACATGAGAGAAAACTTGTCAACAAGAGGCATACCTTTGCTTGAGCTCCTTGGAGGCCCGGAACACCGACGGCAGGCTGCTGACATCCACCTGCACGATGCTGACCTCAGCGGTGGGGTGGGAGGCCAGCAGAGCATCACGGACAGCTTCCGCTTTGCTTAGGTTCCTGCACGCCAAGCACAGGTGAAGCTCATCGTCTTCCTTCAGTAACCGCCTGCAGAGGGCTAGGCCAACGCCACTGGAAGGGCAATTCAGAGACAGAATATGCATTAACTGGTGCCAAAGAGAGGCATTTCTCTCCGGTTCAGAAGTCTGATTTTGTCCACTTGAGTGCTAATCAGGAGCCCAGGTGGACAGAAAGGACTCAAAAAATTATGTAGAGAAGGGGGGAACCCCCCCAACTCTAATCACTTGCTCAGGATGCTGACCAGCTTGTGTTTCTCTCATTCTGCAATAGCTTGATGATGCAAATAACTGGACTGCAAATGAAAGTTGTCCTTTAGCATTTCTTTTAAGACAGAGCTTATCCTACCAGTGGTTTTCATTCTACACTGATTATGACACTCATGAAAATGATTCAATACATCACCAGCAAACGTTGAAAAGATCATCTTGTTAGCGGTTTCGTGTGTGCATGTTTTACTTTATCATCTAGATTTCTCAAGGGCAAGGGGTCTAACTGGTATCAGTGCCACTATCAGAAGCACCAGAAATTCCTGATAAGAAATGGATGAATCTTTCAGGAAGCGGTATAAGTAACTGGCAGGAGGTACGAGTCCCTCTTAACTACTATGACTGAATAACCAACAGGAAGAGAAAGAACTCAACATGATTAAGTAGAAGATAGGAAGAGGAAATATAGGATGGGTACCAGGATAAGAGAAGAAGGATGAATACATGTGTCAAGGACAAATGACAAGAAAAAGCAGTGTGATGGGGACAGCAGTCAGATCAGGTTGGGTAATAGCAATGAATCCCTGGGAAAATGGGTTTTCTCCCAAGACTTAAACTGATTCCAGGCAGAGTCAGAACCCCCAAAAGAGCCTAGCACCATCACTAACCTGTTGGCCCTGCTCACAGAACATCAAATATATTAGTTTCTTCATCCCCACTTGAGAATGGGCCTTTAATATAAATATACAATTGCACATATGACAATATATGTAAAAGAAACAAACACATAAAATCAATTCTGACTTGTTTAAGCAACTTCAACATAGATAGCACCATACCAGTTGCTAAAGTCACTCAGGAGAGGACACACTAACATTCTGCCCATCACAGACACCTATCAAGTTTGGCTTAGTTAACATGGACAGGGCTAGATAACTGCAAAGTGAACTTATTTCAAATGCCCTTTAACATATCCTCAGCCTTAACCCGCCCCCCACCCCCCATCTCCAAATGCAACAATTAGAAAAATGGTTTTGTTAAACCCTCCACACATTCTTCACGGAATTGCAAATGAGAAGTAAAACAGGCAACAGAAGAGGCTGAATCCAAATGCGCAAGCCTGGAGTAATTACCCACTTGTAGTAATGGTTACTTGCACACCCTCCTTACAGTGCCTTAACAGGAAAAAGTCACTTTTCCCCGAGTTTCTGAAGAGTGTATACTAGGTGTCTCGCACTGTGTTACATGGAACGAGATTCCCCCCCCACCACCCCGTTCTAATGCTCATGAAGGTTGAAATTTATCTGAGGGCGGAAGTCCCGCATAGATAAATTAGCTGGAGTAGAAGATATGGCCACGTGGTCACGACTAAACTGCCAGGCACTGACTGTGAAAAGTGACGAGACAGTCACGGAAGCGGCCGAGGTCTGCGTGGGAAGCGCCCTTTTCCTAGGTATGAGAGGTTCATCTGAGACCTCATCTCTTGGTGGCGCTCGAGTTTTTCTTTCCGCTGTCATGGTTAATTCAAAACACCAGTTACTGAGCACCTCAAGGGGCCGGCACGCCCCGTACCTCGCGCAGTGGGGAACCCAGGGAAGAGCGGAACGGGGTCTCGGCCCGAGTCCCCACGGAGGCAAGCTCGGGACAGGAGCTCCTGGGATCTGTCGGTGGCGGGTCGTCCTGGCCCTTTTCTTGCCGCTCCCTCGGATCCCCCGGCCCTGGGACGGCGAAGGAGGCCTCACCTGCTAGCCCCGGTGATCAAAACCACTTTCCGCATCGTCGTGCACTCAGACGCCACGCACACGGCCACCTGGCACAGCGGCTCCTAAGGACTTTGACAGGTGACCTCGCCCCGACCACGCCCACGCCCACGCCCCTCAGCCCGTCAATCAGGGTCCGGCGAGGCCCCACCGACCCTTGCGTCATCGATTCCGCTCTGGGCCCCTCCTCCAACGCAGCCAAAGGTCCCAGGAGCAGGGGGCGGAGATGGAGTGAGATAGGCCGAGGGGCGGAGCCGCGTGTCGCGCAAGGCCCGAGCCAATCCGGGCTCTCCCCGCCCCTGGGCGGTGCAGGTGTCCCGCCCACGCCCCGCCCCGCTTCGGTGACGCCGGGCGGCGGTCGTGGTGGGGGTGTCCTCCCAGCCGAGCGCTCGGCTCCGGGTTTCGTGGCACCCTCGGGGTGGGTACTCAGGCGCCTCAGATGGACACTGCACCGCAGGAAGACCTCAGGGTATTTGCACCAGAACTCCTTATAGTAGAGGAAAGGGTTGGGTCTAGAAACTGAAGTTTGGGGATTATGGTCTGTTTACTTTTCTACTCTTTTTTGGATGTGTAGATCTGGGCACTGTGCCACTTTACAGCTGAGCTTCTGGTCCCAGGACTCCTCCTCGTCTAAAAAAATCATCTTCGCGAAAATGAACATTGATTTTATTAGGATCTTTATGTAGAATCATGCATGAATTACCGATTTTCAAAACTTGGAATATGGTATGGAATCAGAGAATCTCAGAACTACATGGGACGTAATGGATCGCGTACTGTAATCTATTTAAGCGTGTCTCAAACTCTTTGTGGTAAAGGACCTGTTTTGTTTTTCCAAGCTATCCCAGATGGGTACTTTTGGAATATAAAATAAAAATAAATTACTAGAATAATGAAATAAAAAGCAAAAGGCATACAAAATACAAGCCCCAGTTCTTTTTTTGTTTTGTTTGTTTTTTATTGTTCGATTCATCAGATGTAAGAGTACTCTGCCAAACTGCGTGCTCTAGGTTTCTGGGTTTATGGTGGACTGGTAACAGTGAAACCATCACCAGGGCGAGTCCACACTAAGCAGTACTGCACACTGTGTGTCAAACTCTACAGAACATATTTTACTTCATAGCCTCTTTCAAAGTTTTAGTTATTTATGAAGAGGAATGATCTCTGAAAGATATGAGACAGATTATTTGTATTGGCTTTTGAATATCCTAGAGGTTTTGATTAATTTGGTATCAACTGGTTTGGTATCTTTTTTTAAAAAAAAACTAATATATTTTTATTAATTACCTGATTCCCTTCAAAACCTTTCTTCCTTGTATTTTCTACCTACCTATTCTTTGATCTTCTCTCCATTTGACCATTGTTTTCTAATATTTTTATGAAGAATAAAAACAGTTCACTCTTTCCTCCAGTAAGATTGTTGAAATTTTTATTGATAACATGTTGCTTTGGGTGGTTCCATCCTAGTCTCTGTTATGAAGAATGAGTCTGTTTTCTGGTTGTTCATAGTGTTTTGTATGCCTGGGTGGTCTTGAGACAGATCATATTTGGATTTAGAAAGGATTTCTGTGTATCAAACAAGACAACTTTATAACAACAATACAGAATCCCTTCTCGACTAATGTGACAACATAAAATCCCATTCCCTGGTGTGTTTGGACATGCCAGAGACCAAGATGCTTTTCTTCCAATAAACTGTCAACTAATATGTGAGAGGCCTAGGTAAATAAGCTTCTGTTGGGTAAACCTCAACAGACAGGCACCCACACCACACACACCCTTCTGCTGTGTCCCTGTGCCCCATCGTTTCTCCAAAAAGGGTGTAAGGGCAAAAAGAGGAAGGGTAACAAAGCCCACACCAGTGCTATCTTCACAGAGAGAAGGATCGATCAGTAGCATATTTCTTTAATCATTGTTATTTACAATTTATCATCTGACAGACTTACAAAGAATAAATAAAGAAAAGACAATATACAATGGGTATCTCATTTTTTTTTCTAATACAGAGAAATTTTATGCATTCTATTTGGGGATGACTAGGATAGTTTTAAGCAGAAATTAAATCAGTTTGCTATTTACCCCTTGACAAGACACATCATCCTCCAAAGCCTGCAGAAAAAAGCCCAGATGTTTCCTCCTTGTAGGAAGAATGCACCACACATTGCTCCAGAAACTCAGTCCTCAGAAAAAGAAACCAGACAATGGGGTAGAAGAACAGAGCATCATGGATAGTACAGGACAGAACATGAATGGGCTGGATTACAAACTCCTGGTGTGTTGCAGGAACCCTCTCAACTTTCAATTCTTTCCAAGCCTCTTTTCAAGAAAACAGGTTTCCACTGAAAGTGATCACCTTATCCCTTTGTGCCTTCCCTTGAGACCCTTTGCACATTCTTTCTTTACATGCAGTTGTGAATGTGGGTCAGCACAGGCTAGCTTAGGACTCTCAACTTTTTCCTCTGGAAGCCCGTAAAATTGTTGACAAGGTGTCTGCAGGAGAAGCTTGTTTCAACTGAGCTGACTTTGGGGCCAGAGTCTCTCCCTGCTCTTGGTGGGGTACCCAGTAGAGAACTACCTTGCATTTCTGTCTAAACACCTCAAAGAATAAGGCATTTCCATAGATCAACTTTATCATCAATAAATATACACATGAAGGATGTGCTACACCAGGTACAAGTCTAGGCACTTTTTCCTCTTTCCTCATTTGAAAATAAATCCTCTACAATACAGCAAAGCAATTCACCCTAAATTCACTCCAGTTATGCTGAATGACAAGTTTCTGCTTCTATCTTTTATTCATTAAAAAAAAAACATTCAGTAAGTACTTATCGTGTGCTCATTGTGTGTTAGGAATGTTACAGGACATGGGGTATGTAGAGGTGAACACAGGTATAATCTTGTGACCCTTAAACAAGACAAGTTAAAAATACCATCATGAAACTCAAAGCTGTAATCCACAAAAACAGAGTTTCCACACCCCCTGCCCCCAGGCCCCTTCCCAACCTTCTAGCCAGGTTGCTGCTGTGACTGCGTTTAATTTGGTCCAATGTGA